ATTCACATGACCTCAAATCCTGCACCAGTAGTGCCTGTTGCACAGTGTGTGTGACCACTCAGAGAGAGGAAGGAAAAGAAAAAAAGATTTCCTGAGAGTCTCAACAGACAGTCACAAGCAACTGAGATGCCTTTATCACATGAGCCATACTGACTGTTCTGTACGCTTGTGTTCAGTCCGTTGGGGTCGCTAGCTGAAATATGAATGTGGAGTTGAAGCAGTACTCTATCCTTGAGTTTAAGTGGGGTGAGTATCTGCAAAAATTCCCTGCAGTCTCAAAACAGTACAACTCAAGCCTACTGTGTATTAGAAAATGTCTTATTCTTCAGGTTTAGTATATCCATTTACCATAGCATCGTATTAATTGCTTTTTCTACCAACYGTTTTTCCCTTTAAAGAAATAAATCTTTCACTCTTGACTGGAAGCTGTATTCTCATCTTTTGGACTAGTGCTTGTTTCCTCTCAAGTAGGGTGTTCTTAATTCCCACGTGCGAGCCTGTTCCCTGGCTTCCTTCTGTAGGGAGGAGGCAGGCCGCTGCAGTCCATGTTTTGGATTGTGAACAAGCATGCACCGAGTCTAGGCTGAATGGAGCAGCTCTCGCAACTGGTGGAAGAGTGTAAAACCACATGATGACAACCATTCGTCTCCTCTTAGCCGTGAGCAAGAGGGGACTGGAAATCCGTGCAAGGTGCGCCTCTGGCTGWGATCCTCCCTCTCTTACTGGTCTGTAAAGGGTTGGCAACAAACTGCTTGTGACTTCAGGTGCACAGTGTGTGCTGGCCCCTGTGCTTTTGAAATGACGGTTGTAATGTTTCCTCTGTTAAAAGCCTGGCCTGCAGAGCCTCTTTGCGAGGCTATGAAAGAGTGTGATGGCTTTTGTATGCAAACTAGATTGCCTGTGGCACAAAAGCATAGCTATTTTTATTTCTTTAATAAAAACAAACAGTAGTACAAGTATAGCAACCATTTATAAAATGGATTCTGCCATAATAAACGTGTGAGTCGGTTCAATTAAGAACTGCCCCATGATAACTGAAGTATTGCGTGTGTATTCATACACATAGTTAAACCTGATCTGTGAATCTTTGGTCATTTTAACATTTGTTAGTTTGCTTGTCTTTGAGTATTCCTTATATATGCCTCATTTCCACAGACTTGAGAGGGTGAGAGAAGGTCACCTAAACAAATTAGGACTTCTGGAGACATTCAGATAGAGACTGAAGAAGTCTTGGAATTATTTTCCTGACAAAACGTTCTTGTCATTTGAAGGAAGTCTGTTACAGCTTAAATCATGGCTTTTCTTGCATAGTCCCCAGTGAAATGGAATGGATTTCCCGTGCGCGCACACCTTAGAAAAGGAAGAGAGCTTGTACTGCTTGTGACATGATAGACTGAACAGGATTATTTTTCTGTAACTAGGACAAAATTAGGGGCTAGCATTTGATTGCAGCATTGCAGCAGGACGACCAGCAGACTCGGCCAGAGCTTCGCGGTGCAGCACGACAGACTCTTCACTGGAGCGTGCGAGTGCAGGTATGTTCCCGAGGGTGGCGAGAACCTCCCGAGGGGCATCGGCCTTTTGCTGTGTCTCGCTCTCATGTGCGTGCTTTTTTTTTCTCCACCCCCCCCCCGCCCCCCCCCTTTTCCCTCTCCCCTGCCCTGATGATTCTTACGGTTTTGATCCTTTTGGTTAACTGCTTACTGAAATTGTTTTAAATTGCTACACGGCCAGCTGAGCTTGGCTCCTCTCTCGTCCTGAAGGCCCTGAGAGCGTGCCCATTTTTAGTAATCATGGTCGTGTATCTCTGTCATTCATGTTTACTGCACCTGGCCGAGGTTTTACCTGTTTATTGAACAGGCCTGGCCATCTCTCCGAAGGGGGATAGCATATACATTCTTACAGAGGAATAATGGATTGCAACCTGAGCACTTTATGAGGCACTTAAAATACTTGACATGGGTACAGGACTGTTTAAATTAGTTGACTCTCTGAACCTCCTCCGTAACAGTAGGCACCCTGAGGAGTGCAGGCTCCCAGCTGTTGGTGGCAGGGACAAGTGATAGTGCAGAAGATGGGCCATCTAATTTTATTACAGGACACAGAAATGCAGCTGCCTCCCCAGAATAGTCTGAGGGGAGACTCCGTCGCTGCTTTATCCTGATGTGCCTGTAAGGATCTGCTTCAGCTTCTCCTGCTGCTTTGGCCTGAGGGGGGAAGCGCCCTTTGGGGAGCCGTGTTTGGGGACGCGCAGCAAACGCAGCAACAGGTGCTTGGGGAAGGGAAATGACTGAGATGCGACCGGCTGTAAGTGCCCTTGCAAGCAGTCCCACTTGGGGCTCCACAGGTTTGCTCGCAGCCGGCCTCCTTTGTGGAGGAGTCGTATCCGTGCCCGTGAAAGGCTCTGGGACGCCACTGCTGCCCTCTTGGTTCTGCTCAGTACTGTGTCTCTAAGGCCTCAGAGGCATCATTATGTTTTTCAGGCTTAGCTAATACAGCCCGACGCTGAGAGACGACTGAAAAGAAACGCCCACAGTAGAGATTTATGGGGGATGAAGGCAGTCTGAATATGGCCCCAAAGTGTTTGTCAGCTGCCCTCCCTTGGATTCTCCAGTGCCGATTGCCATGGCCCGCAGGCTCTTTCTCTGTACAACTGTACAATCACCTGTATGGGAAAGGGATGCTGGCATTATCCATATGAGCTGGCAAGCGTGCGTGAGGAACGGCTGGTCTGTGTGACAAGCTTTCCGCTGGCCATCCACGAATACTCTTGTCACTGATCTGTTGCTCCTCRCTAGTTCTGGCCACGAACCTGTCTCATTCAGAGCTCTCATGGGCTTGGGTTCATGCAGTAACTACTGTCAGCCCGAGAGAAAGCAGAGGTTGTCACCCAGGTCCTGCAGAGGGAAGTGCGAGTGGACGTGGTAGTTGCTACTGGTAGAAACGATTGTGAAAGGAAGGTGGAGGCTTTAGGGAAGTGTGCTGTGGTGTGCCCTGAGCTTCCCTTCCYTTCATGTAACAGCTTCTCTCCCCCTAAACACTCAGAGGTTTCACGAGCCCATCTTACCTGAAAATATCTTGCTCTGGGAAGTAATTGGGAATGTGGTCAGTTGATGGTGTCTTTAAGTTGCATTTTAAAAAGATAAAGCTGATTGTTTTGCTCTCAGAGTTTACTTGAAGGACCTGGCTAAGACCCAGACAAATTTCTAGTTTTGCTGGCCTGTATTTCAGTGGCTTGTATGGTGACTTTAGAACTTGTTTTTTCTTCCCACATGGATGCTAAAGCTTGTGAAGCTTCTCCACAGATAACAGGAAATATGGAAGCAGGTAAGAGCTTACTGCGAGGCAGACATTGTTGGTCACTGTGCAGATCTGGTTTTGGAAATTCAAGATCTCTTTTTTCTGATGCCTAGGGCTTGACGTGCTTCTCTGCAAGTGCTGTGTGTGCCTCTCCCCTTACCCTGGCGTGTCTGGGACCGTGGAGTCACGGACGAGAGCTCTCCTCTAAACACAAGAGCCATCTGAGTTACGCAGGAACGTGAATCTGATGCCAAAACCTGTTGTGTCTTTATTTTTTATCATTCACCTCTCTCCACAGTTACCTATGCAAGATGGTTTGGTTGAATCACTACAAGATTTATTTTAAAGGAGAGCCTGAATAGGTGTCTGGGAACACACTACAAGTGCTAAAGAACATACGTTTTTCTCCTGTGCAGATGGYGTCGGGGCTGCCTCAGAGGCTGTGGAGAGCAGGGCCTGCCCCAGCCGGGGCACCCGTGCGTGTCGGGGGGCACTTGTTGCTGCGCGGGCGGCACTTGGGGTGAAGCGTCAGGGCGCTGGCGGCAGCAGCTCCCGTTGCTGCCGAGCTCTGCTGGCTGCGGGGCCTCCCTGGGCACGGGGCACCTGCGTGTGCTGGGCTTCTGTTTCGCAGCCTTGACAGCACAAGACCTTCCTCCCTTTCTGGGGGAGGGAGGAAAGTAAAAGTAAAAGAAAGCTCTATTTCAGTAGGCTGAGAATTATAGAAGCATATGTACTCTGTAGTGAGAAAGTCACTTGGAAATGATTGCTGCTTTAGAGTTGCCTTTTGTTTTGTCTGCTTGTTCTTGCATGAGTTCTTCTCTGTGTTCCTACAGCAACGTTAATGCTGGTAGTTTTTAAGCCAGCACAAATGGCTTTGTTCAAGTTATGTCATAGTCTGTGACTGACTTGTGTTGTCCCCTGGTGTTTCAGAATGGGTGCAAGGAGGTGCCAGGGTGTTTCCTGGCAGTGCCACTATTGTTGTCTTGCACTGGCTGCAGCAGGGATGCAGGTGGCCTCTGGTGGCTGAAAATGCCCGAGTGAAAAAGCCTGGCTCCCATTGAGGGGCGGGAAGAGGTGGCAATCAGTGCCCCTTGCTGCTATGGCTTGTTCTGGCAAGGGGCAGAAGCGGCTGTGCGTGTCCCTGCCCTTGCTTTATTTCTGAGTTACACCAATTAGGAAAAAGGTTTTTGTGAATTTTGCATGCAGAGACACCAATACAGTAGCCACCCCAATGGAAAGTCTTGGATCTCCTGCTCTTAGAGAACTAGACTTTCCTTTTTCATTTCATCTTCACCTTGTCACTGAATTCATGGACCTGCTGTGAAGATAGAATTCAGAGCTGCTAGACACTCGGAGTCCCTGCACAGTGAGTAGCATCCTAGCCATGTGGTGTCCTAATGTTGACAGTTGGCATCACTCACCCTTGCTCTTGTCTTGATGTGCTTCTGCTCCTTTAGTTGAAGGCCTGAATAAAAAAGAGGGGAAGTCTAATTTTATAAGTATTGTAAACTGTGTACGATATATACATTGCAATATACAGGAATTACTTTTTAAACTGTTCAAGTGCCCCTAATGCTCAAGGAGTATGGGATCATCTGTAGCGAGGGGCGCAAACTGTGCATGACTAATTTCTGTCACAGAGTTGCATTCTTCATGAGATTCACTACAGTAAAAGAAATACGTATATATGCATGTGTATATGTGTATATATGTGTGTGTGTGTGTATATACATATGGTAAATATTTTGGGGTGTGAACTTGATCTCATCCCTAATCCTAGCAACCTCCCTGCGAGCTTTACCTGGACTGATTGGTTTCTTCCGCATCTCCCCAAAGAGGACAGGGAGGCTTTTGCAGACCCTGGATACTCGTGCTCTCTGCTGTACCCTCATTCACTGCCTGCGGCTGATATTGCAGCAGGTCTTTGCCGGTCAGTTCTGAGTGAATCAGACTGGACATGAAGTTTTTTTCTGCAGTTGGAAGAGAGCAGATGTTTTGTCAAAGTTGCTGCTTGCTAATCTGGATGTCTAGGGGCCAGCTCTGGAGTTTCCTTGTCTGAGCCTCAGTGTGGTATTTCCAAAGGCCTCAAAGGAGGTGAGAGATGTGCTGCTTCCCTGCTCTCCCCCAGCCCGTGACAGTGCAGAGCGGTGCCAGGGGGGCTGGCCCCTCCACCCAGCCCTACAGCTGGGCAGGCTGGAGTCTCGGGGACGGGTTTCTGTGCATGGTCACCCTACAGCTCGGCACAGCCACGCTTGAGGCAAGCGCCCATCGTTGGAGCCGGTGCTTTCCAGCTCCACAGTCCAATTCAGGTCATGTCCATGTGAAATTCATGGTTTTACACAAGTAAACCGGTGGGTAGTTTTTTCAACATTCCTTACCTTTGATACTTGCTCTCGAGAGCCATGCTTGGATCTCTGCAAGAGAATCTGTCTGCAGGAGCCTGCGGAGTTTCTCCAGCACCTGGATGAGGTACGGGGTGGTTACGATTTCTGATGCTCATGGGCAGCACGTGTGTTTTGGGGGAGGTGGGACATGTGTCTCAGGTCAGCTCTAGCTTTGTGAAGGTACAGTTTGCCAGCCGTGCACGTGGCCTGGGGACATGGCCTTCAGTTGTGCCGTGTTAGGCAGCCCTGTGAGGTGTCTGCAAAGGGTGATGCCGGGAGGTACCGTGTACAGAGCCCTTCAGAGACATCGCACGGAAACCGTAAGCAGTTAACGTGTGTGCATGTGTACATCTGTATATATCTATAAAATGCCTTTTGGTATGACACACAGTGTTTGCAGGCTGTTTTCTAGAGGACAAGCTTCAGCCCATGCGCTAATTGCACTGCTCTGTTAATGATTTCTAATAGCAAGTTCCAGTTATGTGAGAGCGACTCAAAATAAATGCAGAATAAAAAAATAAGTCAATAGAATTCCCAGTGGGGATAAAAATCTGGCAAATACTCTGCTCCTTGAGAAATAAGAATGTGCAACAACACAGGAAAGCATATAGTGAGCACTGATGTCTTACCTTTATTCCCTGTTCCAGGTAGCTTGGGCCGTAGTTCATGTCCTCTGGGACGTGAGGATTGYGGCGCAGGGTGATGAATGGAGAGGAGGGCCTGGTGAGGGGAGCAGTGTGGATCCCCAGGCAGGTTGCTGGTGGTGCAGAGCTTTGCAGTCGTGTTTTCAAAAGCTTTTCAAAGGCAGAGAACAATGTATAAAGAAACAGCTTGACTCCGTTTAAACATCAGTTAAAGGCAGTGTGAAATAGGCAACTAACGCTGGTCCCCAGCAAGGCTGTGAAGCAGAAAATACAACTAAAACTGCTAGAGCCCCCACTGACTAGAGCCACAAATGGGAAATGCGCAGAGTGTGACAGCCTCTAACACGTACTCACCTAGAGCAATTCCTAGTGTTCATAATCCATGCGGTTGGGTTTTTCCCTTTGTTAGCAAAGAAAATACGTGAAACAGTGCACGGTGCTTGGGAAGAGCTCTGTGTCTTGGAGAGTTTTTTGCATTTTGGTCTATGAATGAAAGGGGCCCAGTGTAACAGCTAAAGGAAACCGGCTGAGGAGTTGGGGTTCCTAGATTGTGTTTGCCCTTTAGCCGTGGTTTGTAGGGTGCTGCTGAGTGACTCCTCACTTGTCTGGGAGTGGGCTTACAAGTCTGTGAAAAGCATCCTCGAGTGCTTGGCTGGTGGTGTTGGTAAAAGCAGGGGGCAACCTGGAGGACAAGACAAGGCAGCTATTGGATATATGAACAACAGTAGTCTCCCAAAGGTGGCTATGAAATGGTATCTGGCCATTACATGCAGTTAGTTTGCAGCCAAAATACAGTGCAATTATGAATGTATAAGTGAAGAGTGAAAATTAAGCATATCCTTTATCCACGATTCTTAGGTATCTATGAACAACAGCGTGAGGGAAAACAACAGTTAAAGAAAACTAGTCATGTCTTCCGGGGCCTCTGCTGCAGGGCAGCGCCCTCTCCTGCCCAGCAACAGCAGCAGCACAGTGGGCCCGTCCTGGGCAGCATGTGTCTTGCAGCTCTGGTCTGGTCACTGCTCTGTTAATGATCCCTAAGAGCAAGCTCCAGTTATGTGAGAGCAACTCAGAGGAAATGCTCAATGAAATTAAAACTCAGTTAACTCTTTGCTCAGCTATTGCACTGTTACTGCAGAGGAGGTGATCTTCAGACGAAGGAGTTGAGGTAAATCCCATCAAGAAATTCTTTCCATGGACACAGCTGCAAAGTTGGATCTAATTTCTTACTTGTTCAACAAGACACTGTCAGCAAAAGCTAAACTGTTACTGTTACAAATAATCTAAAGAATTGCTGTCAAAATGAAAGGGTACAGGGTTTTCCTGTACCTGCTTTTTGGTTATAGTGTGATAGGTTTTCCCCACCAGTTTGAGACTAAGTCAACTATATTCTTGTCTTCATCGAGTTTGATGATTTTTGTTACTTGCACAGGATGTCAAATTGCAGCTCCTTGGCAAGACATCAGTGATGCACATGTGCTTTGTATTGCTGCTGTTCCTAGTAGTTCCATGACTGATTGCCGTGCTGTTCCGACCTGAGATTATTCAGCATCAAGGATGTCTGAGTGTTTCCCACTTCCTCAGCAGTAATTAAGTCATGACTTTTGTATGGAAGACCGCATGGCTCCATATAAAACCTAGAATGAAACTTTTCCAAGTTTCTCCTCCTTGGCTTGCCTTTACTAAACTCTTTCCCAAGGTTGGATCAAGGTGCTTGTTTCCTCCACTGGCTTGTGATAGTGCACTGACGTTAGCGTTTACACAGTTACTTATCCCATGAGGAGAGGAGAATTCTCCTTAAACTTACAAAGAGAGAAATAGTGATCTTTTGTCAGACATTTGCTGCTTTGAAGAAAGTACCCAAAAAAAAAAAAAAAAAAGAAAAGTTACAGCAGCAGGTCAACCTTAGGAGGCAGACCTGCTTTCTGGACGTTTACTGAAGAATTCTGTCAGAAACTGCGTGGCAGCAGTCACAGCACATGGATACATTGGAGCTTTTCTGAGCTAAAGCAGATAAAGGGATAAGGTGTAATAGCAGAGCCTACGACGCTGTTGTTTTGGCTAGTAATTTAACTTTTGGAGTAAGTTGTAACTTATTTGTCTTGATGAGCTGGCTTTGACTATTTCTCCTGTTGTGCTTGCAAACTGTCATGCAACTAGCAGGCTAACTTGTAGCACTTGAGTAGGCTCCTCAGTATCTGCCCCGTGCGTTTAACTACTGTGTTTTCTTCAAGCAGAATGTGTTTAATATGTTGCAGTCGGAAGGGGGCCGCAATTTTCATCTCCCGTACAAGTGTTTCCTTTCCTTGTGGCTCGCTGCCACCTGTTTCACATGCTGCCTCCTCAAATCTGCAATTCACTGTAAAGGCAGCAGGAAGCTCCCCGGGCTCGGCAGACATGGCGCAAAAACGAGGTTATCGGAGGCGTCTTTGCCGCTGCTGTACTGTGGGGGTAAGTAGGAGGGGTGATAGCTGAAGAATATTTCATAGTTCAAAAGAAAGCTGCAGTGTAGGATGGTGTTAGGGCGAGCCAGTATTTTGYAGCTGGGAACAAATAAGGGTCATGTTTAAGGATCTCTGCTTTTCAGTTTAACACAGAACAGATGAGCAGTGTCTTCTGCTCAGGCTCGGTCACATCTGCTCATGTAAAGACAGAGATGCAGCTGAAGAGCACATTTCTAAGGCAGTTAGCACTGCGCTTAATGCGTGAGCTATGCCCAGCTCTCGTCTTGTGCACTGGGGATCCTCACGTCCCTTTCTTTGGGTCTGAGTTGTCCTCCTTGTCAGCCTGCACCAGGTGAATTTGGTAGCAGTTTTCAGAAGGGTGAAAGAGTGCTAAAGACTTGTATGTGAATTTTTTACTTACCTTTTCAAATGACGTAGGAGTATTTGGAGTCCCTTTAAGAATGTCTCCAAGTCCTCCTTCCCTGTGTTCTGGAAGTTAACAGGCAAAYTGTTTTCACAAGTTAAAGGCTGTAAGATACAGCTTACATCATGTCCAGGGTGCCCTTTTTAATTGAAATACATCAGCTATATTTTGGAAAGCTTTTAAGAGACTATTTTTTTCCTTCCCTTTTTTATTTGCTTTAATTACTTTGCACAGCAGGTTAATGCAATTCTGTATGGCAGGGATGCCTGGCAAAGCTGAAGAACGTCTCACATGAASGTCTGTTTACAGTGCTGTGTAGGTGCTGCTGCTGCGCACGGGTGCAGTCCTGGCTGATCCTGGTGCACCCGGAGCAGCTGGGGTGCTGCTGCATGAAGCAGCAGGTTGGTGTCCCCTACTCACGTGTGGCGGGCCGTGCGGAGCCGGAGCCCCGTGTCGTGGGCGCCCCGAGGCCGGGCAAGCGCCTGTTGGCGGAGGCGGCGCTCGCGGCGCTCCCGTGGCGTGGGTGCTGCGGAGCGCCCTGCGGCTCCGGGAGCTGCGCGTTGCCAGCCTGTCCTCTTACAGATCCGCCCGGCTCCCTCAMCGCACAGATGGGAGCGTTGTTTAACCCTGTGCCGGAAGGAACGGAGGGAAACGGTGTTTGCCACGGAAAGCCACCCTGCCCACCAACTGTGTAGGTGGTCTCCAAAGGGAGCTGATGGTGGATGAATAAAAAACCAACATACAGACCTGTGCATAAAAAGAAAGAGCTTATGGCAYGAGCGAAAGGGAATTTTAAGAATCTGAGAATCCGAGCAGGAAAAGTATCWCCCAGGTGTGATTTAAAATTTGCAAGTATTGAAAAATAGGGCAGAATTTTTCTTTCTTAAACAGTGCCCACAGGTAGGCCCAGTTATATCCGTGTACGTAGGCRGMTCCTTTCACTGGAGGAGAAAGTTCAACACAGGCCTGAAATTTAGTGAGTCTGTGGATGCATTGAAGGAGCTAGAATCTTCCTTTCTCAGCTACATTAGTAGGCATTAAAAAAGAGCACCTTATTTCTATCRTATAAAGTAAAATAAGAGCACCTTGTTTCTATCATTATCTATCGTATAAGTATTTCTGTCATATAAAGGGAGTTTTAAAATAGGAAGCAGTTTTATCAAGCAATTGATCTTTTTCAGAGGCTTGGTTCTAGCAAATACCTGACATAAGACACATACTGAAGAGGAMGTAGTTACAGCTGTGCACAATAGTGAGAGTAACAAGTTAGTTGGCATTGWTTGCCAAGTCACTTCTGGAACAAAAGCCMGTSTTTACAAGTCCCCTGCTCTCGGTTCCCGGCTTTTCCCTGTATCCCTTTGAGGTGTAAGAACTGCAGGCCCAGCCAGACCTGCCAGGCAGCAGAGCAGGTTGGTGCTGCCTTGCGCAATGGGCTGCTCCTCGAAAGGATTATGGAGGTGAGAGTGCAAAAGGCTCCAAGTGAGATTTCTGGCACCCAAGGTGAACTTGTGCGTGTAAAAGGATGGAGAAATTRATATTAGTTTAGCTTAAAAGGGATCAAGACTGTTCTTGTTGTGAAATGGTTGTGGTTGTACCTTGTAAGGAATTGAATGCTGCTAACTTTTATGTTGTCACGTGGGATTTTCCATTGTTGGGGGCAAGTAAAGATGCCTGGTGGGTTGAAAGGAATGTAGTGACTGGAGTCACTATAGTACATGTACCACATATTGCATATACTACATAGTGTGTGCCTAGCATATGTACTATAACRTGAATTCTGGAGCGCTCCTAGGGCATGTTCTAAGTTGTGAGCAACAAATGTGTAGTGAGGTGTGTTTTAACAGCACYTTTTCAGGTTTTTGAGTAAGATGTCCTTTGCTCCTGCTCGCTCGCATGCAATGGCCACACCAGGAAGGCTGCACATCCTTATTTTCCCTGAAGGGCCTCGGTAGTTCAGGTATGACGGATGGTAGTTTCAAATGTGGGATTTCTTACGGAGTTGGTGCACTCTGGTGAAATGCTTCTCTGTTGTCCTGGCTGCTTTGGGGCCCGTGAACTCCTCTTACCTCGTATGTGACAGACCGTCCTGGGATGGGGAACGTGCCTGGACAAGAAGTAGGTCCCATCGGAGCTTCTCACGGGAGGGTAGTATGGGTTGTGCTGTGGCACGCTGTGGTYGAACTGAAGCTGGGGCTGTGGCTTGAAATTGATACTCATTGTGTGACCTTCTCTATTCTCTTGCAGAGTTGCCTTTTGGAGGCCACACTGGCCCTGCAGCTCATCGGGC